CTGAGGAGTGCTACTGATTTGCCACTGTTGTGTTTCACCATTCCATTCTAGTTATTTTTAATACTGACTATACCTCTGTAAATAGCCCTTTGGTTAAACTCTCTTCAGTTAAACATATTTGAATGCAATCGTTTTTCTGCAAGGACTCTGCCTTAGATACTAGGACAACAATGAATGGCATGTCCTTCTCCTTTGCACTTCAATTAATTCAATTTCCAATATCTACAATAGAGTCTCCTTCCTTTCCTCTAATCCAAAGCTTCCCAGCCATCTGGGTCTAGCTGGTCATCCAGGAAATCTTTTTATATGCTCCATTACCTACAGAAAAATCCTGTTGTAACCACCATTGTGCTGAAGCTAGTGTGACATTAGCACTCTGTTGTCCTTGAAGTTCTATCACTGTTCAGTTTTGTTAGTCTGATCATCCCAGCAGTACACTAACTCCTTATGGGTAAGGAACTTTAGCAATTAGAATCTCTAAAGAAACGCATTTTATCTGGAATGAACCTTAGAGTTTACCCTGTATAACCTCTTTATTTTACAGATGGGTAAGTTCAGTCTCACACAGAGAGTCTCTCACAGCTATATTGAGGCAGACTTAAATCCATAATCTAGATTCTTCCTACTATACCATGCTATTATACTGCACTGGGTACTTAGTAGACACTCAATATGCTGATGACTCACTCCTAAATTTATACAGGGGTTTTTGTTTTGTTCAATGCTAGGCTCCATGCCTAGATGAGCACCTGGAACATAGGATGTAGTCAGCAAAATATTCCTTGATTTTGAACCTGGAAGCAGCAAGACAAATACCTTGAAAGTTAATCAGCACCCAGAATGTCATTAATAATAATAATGCCTTATACACTTAGAGAAAATGTAGTTTTCAAAGTGCTTTCACATTTAATGAGCCCATTTGATCCCTCTGAGGTAAACATGGCAGGAATTATTGCTCTATTTACTAGATGCACAAAACAGCCTCTGAGAAGTTAATTATCAAGGATCCCTGACTAGTATGTCGCAGAGCTGAGGTCAGTATTCACAGTATTATGCCACCTCCACTATTCTGTGTTATTTCTTCAGCTTTACCATTCTGCTTCTGGGTATGGCAGATTCATTCAGGGGGCTAACCTAAATATTCACAATGAGTAGGTGGGTCATACACTTATGCTCAAAGAAATGATTTTTGCTTCTTTAAAAGTCCACTGTGAAAGGTCCTGTTCTACTTCTGATTAGATACAACCTGCAGAACACTCCCACTCTTGACATCAGGAGACCTGTTATTACCTCAGAGAAGAGGGTTACCATCTGTGTGTTTTGGCACAGAGACAGCACCGCTGAGACATCACTTTCAGAATAGACCAGAGCCCGGCCCTTTTTATAACCAAGTATTCAAAAAGGAACAATACTTTGCCCTGACCTCATCACAGAGGAGTTAACATGGTGGATTTCTTCAAGATCAAATGCACCAGGGAACAACCCACAGATATTTTGGTTGAATTCTCTTATTTAAAAACAAACGACTTTAGTTCAGATTTCACCTTGGGTTTTAGCGACTAGGATCTCTGGTCCTAATCAGAGCATTACAGAAACCAAAGGACAACCTAAACACAACTCCAGCCTCTTTGTATATCAGTTTCCATCAAGAGCTCAAAGTATCCATTCAGAAATTAAGTCCTACATCAGGGGTCACAAACACAAATGCCTACCAGTAACAGGCAAATAATTGTAAAGCTTAGTAAAAATCAGAAAATAAGGGGTAATGGGGTCTATAACGAGCTGCAGTAAACTAACTTACCAGTTGCTTCTCAGCTCCAACCACCTGTCACTTTGTGAGAATGTGAGCTGTTAACAGATCCTTCAATTTTTTCAGAAAGCTAAGAATCTGCATTTTAAGACATGATTATCTGTTTTTTAAAAATTGGCTACTAAGTCAAATCTGCAAGCCTATTAACCATGAGTAGCCAGAGTTTGACTTTTCCTATAAAGTAGGTCCCCTGCCCTGTGAGAAAGAAATTACAACACATGTACCACTTTCAAGTCAAATATGGTATAAGATTTATGCCTTCCCAGAGGATGTGGACAGTGCTGGAGAAGCAGACTAGACTCCCCGAGTTAATGTGCCTTCTTAGGTGGGGGCCGGGTCTGTTGAGGTGACTGGATAAATGGGTGCCCCGTGGGCGGCATATGTGGGATAAAGATCCCCTTTGCTAGGCATCTGGACATTTCCCCTAGAGCAGTGGTTCTCAACCTCGGCTGCACATTAGAATCACCTGGGAATCTGTTTAAAATCCTCATTTCTGGGCCTCATCCTCCGGAAGTTGTTTCTTTGTTACTAATGTTGTGGCCCCACCCCATAACAAAGAAACAGAATTTCCGGAGGATGCGGCCCAGAAATCAGGATTTTAAACAGACTCCCAGGTGGTTCTGATGTTCAGCCAAGGTTGAGAACCACTGCCCTAGAGTGTCTGGAAAACCCGTAGATTCAAGTAGAGGAGAGGGAAGTAACCGCGAGGACTGGGAGAACGATTTACTACAGTCCGGGGACGGGCAGGTACTGAAAAGGACACAGAGGGGGACGGATGTCGGCTAGTATGGGGACAGTCTTCAACACTGGGAAGGAGAAGGCCATAACCTCCTCTCCAGAGCCACCTTCGGGCACCTCTTGCTCACCGTCGCCACGCAGACGTCCATTCCAGCGGCGTCCATCTTAACGCACCTTCCTGCGCAGGCGCGCTGCGGAGCCCCAAGGCCCCGCCTCCGACCACGCCCCTCCCCCACAAGCCCCGCCTCCGACCACGCCCCCTCGTTCGCTGGCTTTCCAAAAGAGTCCTGCAGGCCTGGCTTTTAAGTCCCTAGGCATCCTCTCTGTCCTGGCAAATGGGGAAGGGAGATGAAATACTCAGACCCTGCCTTTGGGTAGATCAGGCTGATGGGGAGCAGGCAGACCGAGTAAATTATAACAATGTAGAGTACTGTGGGGAGGGTGTCCAGGACTGGCTGGGTCCTAAAGGAAGTCAGGATGTCAGAACCCAGAAGGCAGTGGAAAAGGCTGCGGATATTCCAGTAAGGGATAGGAGTGCAGTGTGTGTGTGCGGGGAGGGGGTGGGGGGGTGAGCGGCAGGGGAGGGTAGGAGAGCTTAGGGGAGCCTCCCCCCCTCCCCCACTGCAAAGAAAGTGCTTTAGAATAGCCACAGGACGTGAGGGGTGCCTGCCCTTGTCCTGAAGGGTCTTGGAATTTCAGCCTAAAGACTATGATAGGTAACTACTGAATAGCTTTAACAGGAAAGAGACCAAAGTGCGTGAAGAGGGCAGGGGCAGAATGGAGGCAGATGATCAGCAGTAATCCAGATAAGAACTACAAGCCACTACTCCACTTGTGGTATTGTGGGGAGGGGGGAGGTTGTTTGTTTGTTTTTGCTTTTAAAATATATTTTTATTGATTTCGGAGAGGAAAGGAGAGGGAGATAGAAACATCAATAACAAGAGAGAATCATTGATCAGCCTTCTCCTGCATGCCCCCTACTGGAGATGAAGCCCACAACCTGGGCATGTACCCTGACCAGGAATTGAACCGTGACCTCCTGGTTCATAGGTCGATGTTCAACCACTGAGCCATGCCCGCCGGGCCACTTGTGGTATTGTAACTGAGGTGAGACAATGAATTCAAAAGGTAAGTTTGAGGTGTTTCATCTTGAAGGGTGTTTGCTGGTTTCTTTCTGAAAGAGCTGCATTTAATACCAGTCTTTGCAGGTGACCCTCATCATGATGTCTGCTACTCAAATTGATCATCATTGGGCCTGGTGGCGATGAATAATTCAGAAAGGATATTCAAGTAAAATCTGCAGACGTCTCGTGATTATTTCTGATATTAAGTTTCTCACCGTTCATAACCTGATGGCCATTTACGACCGATACTGGGAGTCACAAGATGTCACCACAATCCAACTAGAATTACCAATGTGTCTCATTGAGGAGGATCAAATTGATGCCTCACAAAGGAGAAACAGACAGACACCAAGTCAGGATGATCTTTAATTAAACCTGGACGCCTTTGGGCTTTTGGGCTTTTTTAAAGTCTCTTGGGCATTTTTAAATAGAAATAAATTTGGGCTTCACAAAACAAAACCCCAAAAAGTAAGTGTGAGGCAAAAATGATAGGCAACTGGTTTGGGAAAGGAAGAAGTTTAAAACTGACTGGGCAACTGAATTGTAAGGATTTATTTAGCAAGCAAATGGAAATAAGAAACTGGGAGGCTCTAGTTAGCCCCCTTTTCAGAGAATTTGGATAATGCTGGAAAAGTAGATATAACTCCCTGAGTTAATGTGCCTTAGCTGGTGGCCTGCTCTATGAGGTAAATGGATAAATGGGTGCCCTTTGGGTGCCACTCTGTAAGTGGTGACCAGTGCAAGTTGAGAGGAGGTGAGCACTTTCTCTGATTCCCATGCCAGGAGGCCTCACTTTTACCTTCTTTCTTCCCTGTTGGGAGTAGACTTTATCCTTAAATTTCCCTGTATGAAAGGCCACTGTGCACTCCTAGGCCTACCCTCTGTCCTGCACACACAGCCTCAACCCTCCCCAACCTCTGGAGACACATCTCGCCCCAGGAGGCCCTTGCCTTGTCCTTATGGCCCAGGCTGTGTCTGTCCTAAAAGAAAAGCCTCGTGATTCTAGAAAAGGAAAGATGGAGCATGGACTAGTGTTCACACATGTCATCTCCTATTTTCTGGGCCTTTTGCAGGAAGCTTATGCCCTGGGTCTCATGCTTTTGTTAACTGGACTGTTTGGTCTCAGGTTAAGGCCAAGATGCTAGCACATTGGCTGCTTTACTGCTTGGTGCTTATCCACCACTTGCAGGGGCAGGAGTGAGTGAGATGTAGGTTTGGGGAAGGGGTGGGAAGAGCAGCAAAGTCCACTAGTCCAAAATATGCCATTGTATAGGATAGACATTTCTACCACTTTCCACACTTTAGAAGAATTACAAGACCCCAAAGGCTGCTATAAGATAATTTATTACAGACTAGCCAATAATCTCCTGTAACAATGGCACATACAATAATTAACAACAGCAAATATGCTTAATTTCTTGTTTAATGTAATGACCAGTACAGCTGTGGTCAATGCAGAGTCCTCAGAAAGTCCAGGAAGGAAGTCCAGGAAGCTGCTCCCAAGGATATTAAAGGACCATGTCATTTCTCTGAGCAAAGGCCTGGGAAGCCCACATGACCCCTTGCAAGAGTTTGTCTCTAACCTCCCGGGAGTGTTGAGGCCCTCCTCCATCCAGTCTGTATAGAGGGATCATAGGCCAAGTTTCTTCCAAGGGGCTGACTATCTATGAGGGGACACAGCTGACCTAATGACAGGAGTGAAATCAAAGGCTAGATTCTTTCTACAAGGGGGAGGACAGCCAGAGGGCAGTGACCATAAGTGAGGAGAACTCCTTCTAGACTAATTTCCAAAAATTTTTGGCTTTGTTCGGGGCCTACCCAAGAAGGAAATATAGTCTTTTCTCCTGGATCCTTCAACTAGTCCTCAGATGCATACACACAAGAACAGCCTCTCATGTCCTGAAGCATCACTTCCCTTCCTACAGGAGTGAGGTAGAGGAACTCCTGGGAAAGTAGCCTCTGGTACTTGGGTTCCAAAGAATATTCTGCTCAAGGCTCTGAAGCACCATATGAACCTGCTCCTGTTCACGACAGATATGAACTGGGTAAGGGATTAACAGAGCTCATTTCTAGAGGTATCTTGTTCAGTTTCAAAGCCTTTTTCTCACTGGAGGCACACAAAACCAGTGGATTCTGCTCAAGGGACAGTGTGAATTCTGTTCTGTGTGCTCCAGCCCTGGCTATACTTCAATCCAGACTATAGGGTTCAGTGATACCTATAGGCTCAACTGACTACTTAGCTAGCCAGGCACAAGCTCTGGGCCCCCTAAACTTGTTCTTCTAGTGATTGGTACATAGGGGTCCAACTGGATAAGGTGCAGTATGGAGAGGGGTAGACATGGGGTGTGGAGTGGAGGTGTGTCTACCAAGAATGGGTGACACTCTCAGAAACGTCTGTCCCTCTCTCTTTATGGAAAATCTCCCTATGCAGTAACCCCTAGCACCACAGACCTACTGGTCAGGGATTCATGACCCTTTCTGTGAAAAGCCAAACTCCCATCACCCCAAAATTCCCTTAAATTTCTGTAACTGAAGAAGTCAGCCTCTTAACTATGAGGACCTAAGCTGGCTACACAGGAACTCCCACTGGCCCTGATTTGTGGAACTGGTGCCACGTGGTTGGCACAGGAGCTCAGGTGCTCAGCTCCCCTCCTCCAAGGAACGAGACTCCGATTTGAGCTTCACAAACTCTCGAGCCACTTCGTCATTGCTTCTCTGAGACAGAATCCGGAGAATGGTCATGCCTGTCTCATCCATGTGGATCTTCCGGCCCAAGGGGCACCAGCAGGCACAGCTGCCCTTGGCTGCCACATCCCTCAGAGGCATCACAGCCAGCCCTAGAACACGATCCTCTCGAGCAAAGCAGTAATCCTTCACACATATTTGCAATTCATAGGCTTCTGGCCCCTCTTCATTTCCTAGGAGGCTGTGATCACAGGGTAAGTGGAAGGTAGGAGGCCAGAAATGAGAGGATCTTCAACTGAATTCACCCCAGCTGCCATTCAGCCTGTCCCTCCCCTCCCCTCTCAAGTCTTACCTCCCAGTTCACCCCCATCCCACAGTCCTGCAAATCCCCATCCCATAACTTACAAGTGAAATGTCTCATTGTACTTGGGGGCCCAGTTGTTGCTTTTTGACTTGGTTGTGAACTTCCTCTTCTTATCACTTTGATGTGGGCCAACCATGGTCACTTCCACAAAGGGTCGGAACATCCCCGCTGTCTGCCACCTGAGGTCATTAGCAGCCACCACTGCCCAAACAAAGGGAACTTGTGAGGGACTGCACCAAGTGTTCCCAGTTCTTGAGCCCCAGGTGGCACTCCTCGTAGAAGAGGGCCAAGCTGGAGGGATGGGTTTAACAGGCTCTGCTTTTGACTGATGAGGCCACTGAGCAAGAAAAGGTGTGAGACCTGTATGTCCGTGCCACTCACCTTTCACTGTGACCTTGTGCTCTCCAGTTCCAGGATGTGTAAACAAGTCCACCTGAATAGAGACTTCTCCAACAGGATCATCCACACCAGACCCTGAGGGACAGATGGACACATGATCCTCCACTGAAGAAGATTTTAGGCCTAATTGCTCCAGATAAAACAGGACTTAGGAGGCCACCACCCTATACCCTCAAGTGAGAAGCAATCACCCACAATAGCCACGGGGAAGTAAGCATGGGAGAAGTGAATAAAAGGGGATAAAGAATGAGGCTGTGTATTAAAATACAAGTTAGGCTGACAAGATATTAGGCAAAACTTCTTTTAAAAATGCACCAGGAATCTCTCAGGTTCCTCAAACCTCTCCTATTTCCTAGGCTGCAGATCTTGGAGAAGGAGAGTGCTGCCACCCTGTGTCTTTAGAAACTATGTCCCTCCCATGGTCTTAATGGAACAATGTGGGTCCCTTTTAGCCAAAAGCAGTAACCTCCCACCTACCCCTGGATTCCTGCAGGCCCCTGCCTGGGAGGCTGCTCTGCTCAGAAAGACTTTATCCTACTCAAATTTGGACCTCTCCACAAACATCTCCCTAGTCTCAATGTCTGGCCCATTAGCAGGTTCCCCCTAGCAGAGGTCTTACTCTATTTTGAAAAACACCAGTACCCTGAACCCAGATAAAACTTCTTGGTCCTAAGGTGGAGGGAAGGGATAATTCTGAGGACAGACTATTGCTAACCCCATCTCAGACTGTATGAATACAATGCCCATCTCTGAGACTTGGGATAGAGCTTCTGAACTTTGACACCTACTTTCTCCACTCCAAAAATAAGCAGCTCATGTTAGTTGACAGGTGACAGTGTTAGACAATGTTAGGTTCATATCTGCATGGTTTATAACATACCCTTTTCCGGCCGAATGTCCTCATTAGCAGTAAACCTAATACCTTTCCCATCATGCACTGAGTGAGGACAGGAAAGTCAAGAGGTAGTAGCAGCAGTAGGACAGAGAAAGAAGAATCAGTTAGTGGTCTAAGGAGTTAACAGCCATTCAGAGCAGCTTTACACACATTCTGAGGGAGCACAGAGACGGGGCAGGATGGAGAGAGAAGTAACAAAGCTGGGGTCAGTGCCTGAATACTCCAAATCAGACTTCATGGGTCAAAGGTCAATCAAATCATAAGAGAGTGAAGGTATCTAAGCCCAAAAGAAAGGCTGCAGGCTCTAATTTCCTAGGCTCTTAAGTGAATAGCGCAAAGGGTAGAAAAATATACATATAAACTCAGGCCCTCCCTGCAGTCCTCACTCCTACTCTTACCTCATACCTGTCTACTCCAGCTTCTGCTCATCTTTATATTTAGCTTAAAGCTCCAAGTTGTTTTGTGTTTGTTTTGTTTTGTTTTAAAAGCCTTTCTGGATTAACTCAGATCCTCCCTAATGTTATGGATCTTTACATACACTCAGCTCCGTAAAGGTTTTCTTTGTCCCCTTAAGCAAGGTTCATAACTTCTTTTGCTTCCTCTTCTTCCCACCCCAGACTTGAAATAAGAACAGATGTGAAAAATGTAGTACTGCGGTCTTGTGTATCTTTTCACCTTCCGTCAAGTCCAGTCTAACTGCTTAGACTCCGCTTCCCCTTCAGGTCAGCTTTATACTCCAGATCCACAGCTCATAAGGCCCAAGCCTTCCCAATCCCTCCTCCACCAGCTTCACTGCCCCAGGAAGCATGCCCAGGTTTCCCTGGAACAAACAATAATCAATGCACCTGAAGGTCCTTTCTGGGAGGGCCCTTCTCCAAGGTCAAGGTCAGAATTTAGCCATGTTTATGCAGATGTGTTTTGTTATGGATAGGCCTGACTGGAGGCAGGGAGGGGTTCTGAGGACTGGATGTCACTAGAGAAAACCAGCTGCCTGGGTCCCCTGTGCATTAGCATCACCCATGAGGCTGGAGCTCAGCTATGTATGTGATCTGCACCCTTTCTTCAACTCTCCAATGGCTGCCTCTCTTCTTGTTGTCCATGCTGGAGAATCTAGAAAGCCTTTTGCTTTCTATCCCTTCCCTCCACCCAGAACAAATTCCAACAAAGGTTCCCAAAGCAATGAGTCCTCATGAATGAGTGTCTCAATCACTCGTTCGCTAGGCTTGCTCACAGATTTTTCCCTACCAAACAAGGTATACCACTTGAGCTCAATAAACATGCACTGGACAGGCAATGTCTAGGGAAAAAAAATCTCAGGCACATTTTCCAGGACCCTGTTATTCTCCTGTCTGGTACTGAGTATGAGGTGGGGATAAGTATTAGGGTTCTTCAAGAAATCCTGGGATCTGAGTTTGAAGGGATCTATCAAGAAGTACCTGTTAGAGAGATCTAAGAGCTAGAGGACACTAACTCCATAGGGGCAGAGAAAGATCAGGAAAGGGAGGCAGTGACCCAAAGCCCTTAGTCTTACCCTGGGCAGTCTGTGAACGCACAAAGGTTTTGATGAGTGTATCTGTGGTCTGTGTGTACAGAGATAGTGCATAGCGTAGGGACTGCAGATCTGGGCTCTTCTCCAGGAAGGTTTTCTTCAGCCCATTGCCTCCTGCATGAAAGTATTGCTGAAAAGCAAAAAGAGTACTTGTTACTGCCTCATGCCCTTACAGAGAGGCAGTTCCCCAATAGTCCTCAGAGAAATGACACCTGAGGTTCAACGAAGATGTCGGAAGAGAATGGTGAGAACAATAAGTCACTCAGTAAACAACAAGATCAGGAGTCACATTTCCCAGGGAAAGAGTATTATTTGGGTCTCTGGTAGGAGGCAGGGGGGGCGGGGGATGGCCATGTTACTAGATTTTGGTTTTGAAGGACGGATCTATCTGGACAGCAAAGATATGAGATAGAAGCATTTCAGGCAGAGAGTGGACAAAAGTGCTCTTTTATCCCCTCTGAATTCTTAGAGAACTTTATACCTATGACCTACCTCTCCCAAGTGCCCTGAATCCCAGTTCTCATATACCTGTCTTATAACCACCTTGAGGCTAGGAACCATCTTGATTCTTTCTGTATCATTCACAGTACAGTGTCTGGTGCATGTTGTCTCATTGAATAAATAAGTGGGTAGTAGAAAAAAAGTCCTTTGAAAACCCAAATGACTTTATATGAAAGTGAAAGAGGGGAATGTTAGCCAGATCTGGGGTATTAGGATCTGGAAGATTAATTCCCAGTGGAAAATATTCAGGAAAGGCAATGAAGAGCTAAGTAAACTGAATGTGTGCAATTCAGAACCCAGGAATAAGTAAGTATTCTAGGTCCATGGTGAGTCACTCAAGACCACACAGGAGGTGCCTTTTTGGTTGCTCCCAAGTAGGAATACAGACATAGCAGAGAAAGAAACAGACATAAAAACCACTCTCTTCTGATGTGGGTGACAGGAGCCTGAGGGACACCTCGTCTGGCAGAGTGAAATGCCAGGGCCAAGAGGGTGTGGTAGTAAGACTGTCTGGAGGCAGGGGAGGTCTCCACCTTGATGGTGTCCAGGGCGAGGTCAAGGACAGCACACTGCTTTGGAGTGAGACTCCGTGTTTCCTCTCGCACCATGTGGTCCTGGAACCACAGAGAAAGCATCAAGTCAGCTTTGGGCTGTCATGAAAATCTTGCCCTTACCTGCCAACCCACAGCTACATGGCACTCTCCTTTCCCTCCTCTTCAGTCTCCAATGCTTAAATTTCCTTCCTTCCTTCCAGGCAATCCCCTCCCCCCACCAGCCTCAGAAGGACTCCACACATCTAGAGCAGCGGTCGCCAACCCTTTGGACCTCACGGACCACCGGTTGGCGACTGCTGATCTAGAGTACCTTGAGTTTGGAAAGATGGCTCAGCTCCTTGGCAGCAGTGAAGATCAGCTGAGTGCCCTGGGCAGAGAGGGAATCAGTCAAAAGCAGAAGACTCCAACTCGAGCAGGAAGCGTGGAGCGAGGCAAGGGAGACAGCAGAAGGAATTTGAAGGGAAGTGTCCTTACCGTGTGGTCAGTGAGTGGGGGCAGAACAATCATCCTTTCCATTGTGTTCAATACCACCCGCCAGAGCTCCTTCAGCACACGCTTCAGGACCGTCTTCTCACACACAGTGGCAAAGAGGGTGAGGCTGCAGGCCCAGGCAGCAGGTAAGGCTGTGTGGGTGAATGAGAATCCCCCTCCCCAAGAGGCTCCTCTGCCTTGCTTGTCCCAGAGGACAGTCCTGAGTACTGTACTCACTTGCCATCCAGGAAGTCCATGAGAGGTCGGAGCACGCTATCTGCATCCTGAGCCACTGAGGCCCTGGCGTTGGGGGATGCGTTCCCTGGGCCCCGCACCTGGCTCAGGATGTCGGCCATTTGTTTAATGCAATCATCAATCCGCACCTGGAAACTACACATGTGCCCATAGTGCAACCCTCTCCTTCCCAAACACACACATTGGCCCTGGAGTAGCACCAGCTATTCGATCCTACTCCAGAACACTCGTGGTACAGCTTCCAACAGGGAGAGCCAATAGGACGAGACAGAAGATCCACACACCTGCAGCTGGATGGATGGGTGTGGGGCAGGAGCTTTGAGATTCATCAGGAACCACATCTGGCTCTGAGGACTATGTGTTTTTGGGCCACTGACCTGTTTCCAAACACCATGCTGAGCTCATCCAGAACGGTATTCAGTTTCACCTGCAGCTCCTTCAGACTGTCGGCAGCTTCAGGATCCAACTATATCCACAGGAGGTGGGCTTGGCTAAGCTGGTTCAATTACCCTTGTCTCCCATCCTGTGTCCCGACCCCTCCCTCCTTGGGCCTTTACCCCAATGCCTACTCCAATCTCTCAGCCCAAGCCCGCCCAGACCCCAAGCTAAACTCCTGGCCTGCACCCAGTCAAGAAAGTGTAGAGTTCTGTGGTCAAAAGGCTAAAGAACAAAGGGAAAGTACAGCAACCCTAACCCCTAAGACCTACCTCCTTGCCTCCCATGGCCTCAAACATTTTCTCCAGCTGGACCCTCAGTTGCTGCATGTTGTTCATCAGGATGCAGGGCTTTGGGGACAGATGGAGCTGCTAAGTCTTGGCTTCTTTTAGCACAGGACCCATCAGCCTAGGGTTCCTCCCTTTCTCACACTACTCCAAAAGCCACAGGGAAATTACAACAGGTTTTACATGTGTCTCTCCCTAAGAGATTGGAACCAATTCAGACAATTCTCTATGAATGAAGAAGACTAGAGCAAATGTTTCTGTTTTTAAGCTGGGTGGTGGGCCCCAGGTGTTCATGGTGTTATCCTTTAAAACACTTTGACTAGCTCAACTTTTTTTTTTTTACACTATTAAAAAAGAGACTAAGCAAAAGTCTAGCTTAGTAGAGGCTAAAGAACCAAATGGAAGCTCAGACGAACTCCTAGTCAAGTTCTTATTCTGTGGCACAATATCAAGCGAAGCCCTGCTGGGAATCAGAAGTCAGGAGCATCACTCCACCCTCAGCTCTAAGAATAGCTTCAAAAGGAAGGATTCAAGTGGCTTCCATTCCCTTCTTCAAGGGTCCCAGGGCCGGATCCTCACCATTTTCTCTTTTGTGCAATAAGCTGGGAAGTTCTTTGATAAGATGTCTGCATACTGCATCAGCACCTTCCTGATGGTCTGAGAAAAGAAAAAAGGAAAGAAGGAAACCTTAGCTCTCCCCACAAGGATCTTGCCTGAGAGGTCACACCTCTCATCCTAGAACAATACAACATAGAGGTAAAGTAGAATCTCACAGAAAGGACAAAGCTCCCTCTCAACCCCAGAACAGCACTGAGACAAACCATCTGTCCACCCTAGTCACAAACAAAGGATAATGGGGTAACCCAGGTTTCACCTCAAGGCCACCACAAAGAAGGGTTGAGCTCAGGCCTGTGACTAGGCTGTGAGTGGTGGTAGTAAGGGGAGGGGTAAGGGAGGGTCATGGTCACCTTAGCAAATCTCCTCATGTAGTGGGCAAGGATGTTGGGGTCTGGGCATTCCAGCTTTCGGATGATCTCAAAGCTCTGGTTGAGCTGTGTGAAGACGTCCACCACAGAGCAGGAAAAGAGTGCGTGCTCTGATGTCTGCTGGAACTAAGGAAGGCCACATACAGGGTCAGCATCTTCAGCCACTACTTTTCTCCAAGTTCATAGGGTTCAAAAGGGCTCTTCCCAGTAGGGGTGGCTCAGTGGCCCTCAACCACCCTCCTTATGGACTCCTCAGGGCAGGAACAGCCAATCTATCTAAAGCCCAGGAACATTTGCTGACAGCTAATTGCTGGCCTCAACCCTGTGCAGCCCAAGCCCCTGACTTACTCCATCCTTCTTATCTCGTTCCAGGGCCCCATGTAGGAATTCCAGGGATACATCCTCATTCTCATCCAGCCATTGTAGGACAAACTGCTCAAACCACCTGCAGCCAGGAAAGATAATTGGGGCCTGGAGCTAGTTGTTGGCATATACCATATGCCTGACAGCTCCCCCAGACTGGGATCTTCTGGAAAGTAGGACATGGTTTGACACTTTTCTCTTTCTATAGCAGTGCCCAGAACAGGTCTCAAGACTAGCTTATCGAATTGAGGATACTGGCCCCACCCCTACGCTAAGCCAGAGGGTCCCTCTTCCCTTCCCTCCATAGTGCCCACTTGAGGACTCACGCTGGGTACTCAGGTACCTGCCCCTGGAGGGCAGGCAGCTCCCGCACATATTCATTGTGGAGCCACTTCACCTTGAAGTGTAGGTTCATGTAGTCAGCACTCTTACACAGCCGGTCTTTCTCATGCTCTAGTGACAGGGAAGAAAGCTGGGTCAGGTCCTGGCAGTAGAGGCCTTGATTTTTCTCAAGGCAGCTGATCCAGTTAGGCAGCTCCTCCCAACCACCTCCTCATAGCCATGTCCCCCTACCAGGAGTGCTCTGTTCTCTAAGAGCCTGGCTCACTGGATAAAGTGTCGGCCTGTGGACCAAAGGGTTCTGGGTTCGATTCCAGTCAAGGGCATGTACCTTGGTTGCAGGCTCCTCCCCAGCTCGGGCCCTGGTCAGGGTGCATGCAGGAGGCAACCAATTAATGTGTTTCTCTCACATCGATATTTCTCTCTGTCTTTCCCTCTCTCTTCTACTCTCTCTAAAAAAAACAAAAACAAAAAATCTATGGAAAAATATCCTCGGGTGAGGATTAAAAACAAAAAATGCAGAGATGAGCAGTTGTACATGACATGAATAGGTCACTGACAACACACAGAGACAGGGAAAACCAAAGTGAACCCAAGCTAACAGAAGCTGCATTGAGCAGCCATGGTGCAACAGAATCTTGATATAAACCGAAGGGTCCAAGAGCATAGCTGAGACCCTGAAAAATGAACTCTCAAAGAAGTTTGCAAATAAGAATAGTCAGTTTGGAAACCATGGATACACAGCCAGATAAGAGGCTCATCATGTTACAGAAAATGAGATGCTCATTTTGGACTTGAAAGGGTCCATAATTTCCAGCTGAATCTCCAAAGCCTTCTGGAAAATCTAGGACAAAGAGCACTCATAGCTTGCCCAGAGTCTGGAGCACTGGCCGTAATCACAGGTTCTCGTCATCTACCCCCTTTATAGAAGAGCTTTCAAGGAAACCCAGGCCAGGCAGCCCCCAGTGTGAGAAAAGAATCCTATTTATGTATTTAAGGGTCTATGATTCGTTAACACTGTAAAGATAAATTTCGTAAGACTCCTCTCCAGGAAGTGAGCCACTTGTGAACACCCAGATGGGAGGAGCTGATTCCTGGGCTGGGAAAGTCTTAGGCAGGCACTTGTTCTCAAGCTGAAGGAATGAACCTATAGCCATTTACATTATTCATTGGGCTGAAGCTTTGTCTACCCAAAACCACCTGAGGCCTATCACTCACTATGCACGAATCCCTCTATTTCTCATTGTGCCATTCACCCTGAACTTGCAGTTGCTGGGAGAGGAAAGAGAAAGCAAACCAGGTGCTTGGACAAGGGGCCTTCAGCCCACTGCCTTGGGCACACCCTTACCCTCCAGTGCATATTTCATGTCTTGGGCAAAAAGTTGCCACATCACTTCTGCGCTGACTTTTCCCACATTCAGCTCCTGAGGAAACCTGGATGATGGAAGAAGCCGCAGTCAGAAAACAAAGCAAGAACTATTTGATTTTATTGATTCCAAGGCTAATGTGCCCAGTTCTCAGAGGTCATACTGAAGAGAGGAGAAGCCTAGGAAACAGGGGTAGACTCACTCTAGAAAAAGGGGGTTCGGGGTCAGTGCTAGGACAAGTGGGGGCAGAGAATTCCCTCAGGCAAAATGGGCCCAGGGAAAGGATGCCCAAAAGGCAAGGAAGTAAGACCCAGAAGAGAAGGTTTGGGCTGGAAGGTAGGCCCAAGCTAAATAAGCTGGAGGAGGAGGGGTAAGAGGTGGGCTATGAGGTGGCCCACTTTATTCAGAGCAGACAGACACATACACACATGGTCTCTGGATCCCCTGGGACTCCTATTCCCAGAGGACTCTCACTCCAGGGAGGCTGGTGCAGTCTGGGCAGGGCCCCCCCATTATGTTTCCACACCTGTCTCCAGAAACAGCTACCCAGACAGATACAAGGGACAGAGGGACAGACGGACGGACAGGAAGAAGAGGTGGCACTGCAAACATACAGAGATAGGAAAGAAAGAGGCTGTTAGACAGATGGACAAACCAACCACCAACCAGACAGGGCCGAGTAGGGTGATACTCACTGGTTCAGAACAAGTGTGTAGGAATTCTTATCTTCCTCTATGATTGACACAATGAGTGTGATAAGTTTGGGCCAGAAATCCAGGTTCCGAATGCTGGGCCCTTGTTCCTCGGCAGGTAGTTCCTGCTTCTTGTTCCAGAAGAGATAGTTACAGACAGGGTCAGAGTAGAATGTAAAGAGTGTCTCTAATCTTCCTCTTTCTTTCCCCTCTCCAAGCTTCTTCCTCTAGAATCAAGTACCCTTCCTAGAGTCTGTCTTCCACAGGACTGCCCCTGATACGTCAGAGGTGACTACTGGGAGGTCCTTGGACACAAAGAGTTCATTCCTGTCCCCACTTCCTCAGAAGCTATGGGTATTGTGACTCTTTGACCAAAGTAAGCAGCCCCTCCAGTCTCACTAAGTAGGTCTAGTTGCACGTGACCCACACTAGCAGCCCTCCTCTGAAACCCAGCCCCCACCCCACCACATACATGCACATCTCAGCTCTGAGAAGCTACTTCAAGTTTTTCAGGAGCTACTGAACAGACCTAGCATGCAGGTTGGCCTAACCGCCAATGGGTTAGGACTTCCCTTAACCCCTGGAATGTCCTTATGAGGAAGAACTGCATCTAGGAAGCTACTTGCCTAACTGAATAAGAAAAGGCCTTGGGAAGCCAAGAATACCCAATGGGGAAAAGGTAGTCTCCTTAATAAACGGTGTTGGGAAAACTGGATATTCACATGCAAAAGAATGAAACTGGATCCCTATCTTATACCACTCACAAAAATTAACTCGAAATGAGAAAAAAAAATACTATTTAAGAAATCAAGAAAAATATACAAAGTCACCAGAAAATAAGTTAGGTTGCCAGCATAAAATAGGCGAAATAGGGCAGCCTTTCAGAGGACATGTCCAGCTGTGATATTCAGCTGACCAATATATCTCAGAAGACCATGCAGTGCAGAGAGAAGTGGTCAAAGGAAAAGTTAAATTTCTATTAGCCAGTAGCTCAGAGAGACAGCTGTAGATCTTAAAGGAAGGAGACTGAAACATAGAAGGATCCATGAGTCAGAATAAAATTAATCTTGGGGGAGAAAAAACGACTCTGGGATGGACTGCAAATTTACCCTCTGAAACTGCTCAAATTTTACTCATTTTCTTAAACTAAAACTTACTGTTCCCACTGTTGTTCAACTCAGTTATGTCACACCTGGTCCCTGTCCATCCACAAATGTCTCACATGGTCTAGATCAGTGGTTCTCAACCTTCTGGCCCTTTAAATACAGTTCCATGTGGTGACCCAACCATAAAATTATTTTTGTTGTTACTTCATAACTGTAATGTTGCTACTGTTATGAATGGTAATGTAAATATCTGATATGCAGGATGGTCTTAGGCAACCCCTGTGAAAGGGTCGTTCGATCGCCAAAGGGGTCGCGACCCACAGGTTGAGAACCGCTGATCTAGATGGTTCAAATCCTACAAAACTCACTCACCCTCAAGAACGTTGGGACTTTTTCCTGAACTCCCTTCTACCATGACCACAGCAAAGGAAAGCTGAGGCTCCAAGAGCCACTGACAGCTGGTCCCACCTGATCCCAAACCTCTTACCAGCTGATACTGGTGGCTGTACAAGTCATGGCAGTTGTTGAAGATATACTCATATGTGGAGTTCAAACAGGCCTTCACACAATCCTTTACCACCTGGCTGGCTCTTGGAGGGCTTTGCAGTTCTTGCACCTGCCAATTAAGAAAAGGAATATGGGCCCAGGGTTGTGCTTACCTGGGTGGGGATCTTCTCCTAGAACTACCTCTAAACTAGTCCAGATTCCTTCATCCCTCCAAGGGTTCCTGGACCTTGCCCTGAATTTAAATTGCCAAGATATCTGATGGGGAGACTGCCAAGCCCATCCTTATTGATCCATTGTGTTCATCAAAGTAACTCAGGGAACAAATGTATGGAAATGTGGGCTTAGAGGAGATGATTTCTGTAGCCTCACACTGTGCCAAATTATTCTTATTTTCCATATCCCTGAGGCCAGGTCCCCAGACCAATTCATCTCTTACCTTCATCCTGAAGAAGGTGATGCTGGTCAGCAAATCCACTGTGGACTTTAAGTCTTGAAGCCGCTCAGGACTCCCAGCAGGGAAATTATTCTGTTGTAAATCAAGCAAATGCAAGAAGGGAATAGAGAAATATGAAAGCCTTCCCTTCCAGAAGTAACGAAATAAAAAACTTCCCTAACTGCTACCCACTGGAATTTTTCCTAGTTGAGATGGACAAAAAAAGCTGTACTACTGAGATAGACAGGCCTTTGCCAAAAGCAAGTGCTAATAATCCCCAGCCCAGAAAGCAATGCTTCCTCCCCCCAACCCTACTTCCCATGCAATGTGTGTGCATTTGCACAAATGAACACCACCCCCCCCACACACACACACACTTACATACACACACTTTTTTGGGTGAAGATTCTTACACCCAAACAGTGAGTTCTTCAAAAGTTACACTCTAACTGTATATCCTGGAATATAAGTGTAGCCACACTCCAGACCAAGACCTGTACTTCCTGTACAATGGGCTCCAGCTATTCCTCTGTTTTGGAGCCAGCAGATGGCAGAGCTCTGAGCAGAACTGCTTTTGGAGTGCGTTCCTTAGGACGTTCTGGCTGTGCTTCACTTCATCGCCTTTGACATGAGTTTTAGGAACAAGTTGCCAATGACAGCTGAAGGGAGATGTTGAGCCACTCCCCATATTAAAAACCACTTATTTAAACCTTCATATAGCTACTTATAAGTCAACTATAAGATATACAGTCAACTCTCCATTATTCGTGCAAACGGAGGGCACTAGAAGTACAGATCATTAAAACCTCATTTGTTTTTTTTTACTTTGAGGTTATTTTTATACTTACTTTTTAATGTGGATATATTGCCTGTCCTGGAAATTCACAGCACTTTAAAGCAAGTAATGAATCCATTCTAAGAAGATTTAACTTAGGAAGAATTGAAAAACTGCCCCTTTCCCTGTCCTGCCCATTCCAGGTACCCACCCTCCTACTATATCTATTTCCTCCCTCCATCCTAGGAATGAGATGACTTCTGCTACAAATTACTTGCCCAAGCCAAGCTGCTCTCTCTCTCCCCTTAGCTGGATTCTCACACCTCCCCTGAAAAGAGAGGAGAATATGGAATAATGCAAGAAGGAACCATAATGATCTAATTTTTAAAGGGGCATTTCTGGAAGAGATTATCCTCAGGAGACTCCCTAGTGAGAATATCATCAGACAGTTTGGTGGAGTGAAGTGAGTGAGGTGGACAGCCACTGTCTTTAAAAGCAGCCACACCTGCTGCTACCACACATTGCGTGGTCCTTGGAATTTGCAGAACCACAGGTGTCAGTGGCATTGGCCATGCACATGGGTGTGATGACGCAGACCAATTTTCCTTGCCTTCAATCTTTATAGCCAAGAATGGTGTACAGTCTCTCTAGACTGAGCTAATAGTATCTCTTACCCAGCCCCACAGCCATGTCTTCACTCACCCTGTATGTAGAGAGGTCAATTCTCAGGGAGTTGTGGAGCTGGTCCAGTAGTTTCACAAATCTCTCTTTCTGACAGTGGGAAACAAATAAAGAGAAATAATCTGTTTCTGAGCTCCTAAAACTATAAAGAAACTGAACCACCTCTGGGTGAAGAGGAGACATTGGTTGGGGACACATCACATCCATCTCTCCTCATGAGGAGAATAACAACATGTAAGGGAGACATAAAATTGGTGGTCTCTGTTCCATCTCTTAGCAGCTCTGTCTCAAACTGGACAATCTTTTCACACTGGCAAGGGGAGAGGCAGTCCCTGGGAGGGAAAACTGCTCTTTCTGTACAAGAGTCAATAGGAGATGACCAGAGAGTGCACCTCCATCCCTTTGAAACTCTAACTCATCTTAGTCAAATAACCCTTTATTTGACTAAGATGAGTTAGAGTTTCAAAGGGATGGAGAAACTCCAAACATTCTCCAACTTGTTCCTTAGTCTGTGGTCTCCTGACTTATCTTGGGGTAGCTCAGGCGAGTTAGTCACAACCCAGCAGTAACAATGGGAGGGAGAAAGAGTGATGTATTTGGAAGGTGAGCAGGTAGTCTTGAGTGGCTTTCTCTTTAAATCACATCTACATCATTTCCCTCAGTTTATATAACATATACTAATTTAATAGTTGATTTTTATAGGAAAGGTATAATTAAATGTGGAATCACATGCCTATACGCTGTGTGGCATAGCACTCCTAGAATGCATATATTGATTATATAATACTAGAGGCCTGATGCACGAAATTCGTGCAAGGAACTCGGCCCTTGCAGCCCCAGCTGCCGCCACCCTCTACGGGGCAATTGATCTTGGCCCCACCCGCCGCCCACTGGTCGTTCCTGAAGGTCATTCTGGAAGGTCATACTGCTGGTCTAATTAGCATATTAGCTCTTTATTATATAGGATTAGAGGCCCAGTGCACAAATTCATGCACATTGAAAAGAAATTAATTAGAAGAAATATTTTAATATTGCTATTTGCCCTTTCTCTATACTAGTAATAGAAGTGTCAAATAAATTCACAATCAACAATGACAGATCGAAACACACACATGCGATTGGCAGCAGTGAGAGCTTTATATATATAGATAAACTTGCTTAATTAGACCTGCTTTCTGATTTAGCTAAACTTTTCCAGCCCAGTGAAGTACCTCAACTTCTCCTTCAGGTAATTGTCAGTAACACAGCAGTAAATATCAACACGAAGCAGATTATTATTGTAGATCATGCAGGGAGAACAAAGGGTAAAACATTTAACTGCAGCAGTGTTTGACTATATTCTGTGCAGTGAGAAAACCTGAAGTCATTTTCAAGGTCCACCATTTCTTACTTCTTTTCAGTTGGGTCAAGTTTCTAAACTTTCTAAATCTCTGTTTTCCAGCTAACGAATTGAAAACAGGATTCTACCGAGTCTCCTATCTACCTACTCCAGGACTTCTGTGAGGATCAAATGAGATGAAGCATGGGAAAACGCTTCACAGGCATTTGGTTAAAGTGTAAAATGTTTACACCTGGCTATAAAGCAAGACGTGTTCCTGGGCTGAAGAAACTCCAAGGAGGCTGGTCTCTAAGGAGAGGAAGCCGGGTGTTGTTATGTGATGTCATTACCCGGCGCCCACAGCCACTGTTTTGGGCTGGGCTGGGCTATGGGCTGCATTTTGTGCCATGGGGTCTTAGCAGCATTGGCTTGCAATTTGGTGGGCTGTTTCTCTGGGGTGGTGGCGGGGCCTGTGTCCCACTTGGGGGAAGCCCATTGTTGCTTTGTCAACGCCAGGTCCATAGTGCCGTTTTTTTTGTAAATAGCCAGTGCACATTACAGCAGCTCCTATGTTGAGCGTCTGCCCCCTGGTGGTCAGTGTGTATCATAGCGACCAGTCGGAGGGACACTTAGCATATTAGCCTTTTATATATATAGCTATCTTTGAATATTAAGTCAATATATAATGGGATATAACAGAATGAAACAAAGGCTTAATCAATGATATTAATTCATCTATAGAAAGACTCTCTTTAATAACAAGAAAAAGTTGTTAGGTCCATAAACAGACCTATTGGATTTGGGGGTATCAGTGATTTTATGCCTAAAGAGGTCATTTTTGTGCTGGGTCAAAGGTATTTCATCTAGTTTATATTGAAGTTATGACAGGTGACATTCTGAGTAAAGATTCAACTTCTCAAGTACCTTAACATAGGAAAGGGCATGCCCTGAATAGAAAAAAACAGTCCAGACACTAGAAAAGTGATAGGCTGAGTATACACTGATATCCTTGCTTAGGCAATAGTCTCATATGAATTTAAGTGGTATGAATCTGTCAGAGAGACTGAGTAATATTAAGAAAGATCCATTTGTGGACCTGTAGGACTAACGAACATGATGATTCAGCCACACTCTTGGCCTAGAGAGGTTCTACCTGAGCCCAGGTGTGCCCCCAAACCATAGTGATGCTCTTTTTCTCTCATTTATCTGTGTTTGAGGAGAGTCTATTAGTAAGTCAACATATCCATAATGAAATAAGAATAGTCTATCAGCATCGTCTGCATACTCATAAGGAAACAAATTCACCTATCTAGGTGGCATCTATATGAATTTTAGGCTCATCAACCAACTCTACAGTATTGACCATGAAAAATCAAACTTTATTAATTGATAACAAATGGGTAGGTATGTTTTATATCATACTCACCCCAAAGTTGGAGGCTGCAAAGCGATCAGATGCAGAGACATTGGTGGAGGCAGTTGTGTGGGCATAGTAGGCATTGATGTTGGCAAGTAAGGTGCTCATCACTGCTGGCACACCAGGACACATGTACTTGGATGACAAACATGCAAAGTGCCTGAAAAACAGCACCCTCAGCTTCAAAGACTCTTCAGGGCTTTCAGGGGAAGACAAGTAATTAAAAGATCTCACTGATGTGTATAAAGCTTCCAATCACCTTGATATAAAAGGATCTTCATAGTTTATTTATTCAAATACACATTCAATAAATGCCTACCATGTGCCAGGCCCTGTACTAAGCACTAGAATCCAAAGATGTAATAACCCAGCCCTGGCCAGATGGCTCAGTTGGTTGGAGTGTCATCCCATACACCAAAAGGTTGTGGGTTTGATTCCCAGTCAGGGCTCATACAGGAGAAAAGCAATCCATGTTTCTCTATCTTTTTTCTTCCCTTTTCCCTTCCTTCCTTCCTTCCTTCCTTCCTTCCTTCCTTCCTTCCTTCCTCCCTCCCTCCCTTTCTCTCTCTCTCTCCCTCCCTCCCTCCCTCTCTCTAAAAAAAGATCAAAATAAACATATCCTGGGGTAAAGTTTTTAAAAGCCCACAATGATGAGATGGCCAGGCAGAGAAAGTATTAGAAAGTAAGTCAATAATTCAAGGTGTGCTATGCAGAAACACCATAGAAACGTACAGGAAAAATCACCTAAATCAGGATGGTTCGGAACTGGAAGGATTTGAAAAAGGCTTCCCAAAGAAGAGATGGTTGAAACAAGTCTTAAAGGATTAGTAAGAATTAATCAAATGGAGAAATGTATACACAAAGGGAAATTGCATACAAAAAACAAATATATTCATGACAGAGTGACTTATTTGGGAAACAACAGTTTGGCTATTGTTAAGGTGTCTGATAGAGGAATACCAAGAAATGCAAGAGAAGTAGGTAGAGAATAGATAATAAAAGAGTTTATCCTAAATGCTAAAGTAAATTTTTAAACAAAAGTATAGTGTGATCGGATTAGTCTTTCAGAAAGGTCCCTTTGATGATAAATTGGAAAGAAAAGACTAGGATAAAGATAAGAATAAGACAGAAAGATCGCTTGGAGAGTTATTGCAATAATTCAGAAAAGAAGCACTAAAGCACTAAATAGAACAGAAAAAAGGTTAAGAGCACAAACTCTAGGTCTTGAGTCAGACTGTGGGTTTGAATCTCACCCCCACCATTCACTCTCCTTGGATAAATTACTTAAAGTTCTCTATGTCTCAGTTTTCTTATCTGTAAAATGGTTAATAATGATACCTACCTCATAGGGTTGATATGAGTATTAAATAAGTTCACATTTATAATATGCTTAGACCAGTGCCTGACACATAAGGAAATGCTATATACAAGTTGTTATTATTATCATTATTGTTGAGCTCTAGTAATAGTGATAGATTAAAAACATTTTTAGGAGATAGAAACTAGAGGTTTTAGAAACTGGATGTTGGGAGTTAAAGATATAGTAGCAAGTAAAAAAGAAAAGTTTAGGCTGACTCCTAAATTCTTTTGGACAACTGCATAGAAAATCGTACCATTTACTCAAATAGAGAATATACGAAGATAAGCATATTGGGTGAAGACAGTGTTGATTTGGAATGTAGGCAGGCTGGATTTACAATGCCTATGGGAATGAATACTCAGGAAGCAGCTGAAAATGGATCTGAAATTCAGGAAAAGGCCTCATCTGGAGAAAGTGACCTGGGGATCCTGATCCTAAAAGTAATGGTTGAGGTCACAGGTTGGGATAAGATCATCCAGGGAGAGCGAACAGATAAGAATGTCAGAGGACCATTCTTAAACCTCATTGCTCACCATATTTCTTCTCTTCATCTATATACTGAACTTCTTGTAATTTCTTGAATGTCCTTTGCTCTGTAGTATCTGAGTACCCCAGTAAATGCCCTACCAAAAGTGCCCTCCCTCCTTTTCGGTATTTCAAAATTTAGTTCAAGTGTCAACTCTTTAATGGCTTCCTTCACAGGCCTCCCCTAAAATGCAGATGCTCTCATAATACCCTGGGATTACTTCTATCACAGCATTTATCACACTGTATTGTAATTGCTTGTTTTCTGGTCCATCTCTCCTGCTAGAATAAGTTCCTCAAGCACAGAGGCCCCATCTTACTCATCTTTGTGTTCTCAGCACCTAGCACAATGTGTGGCACATAGAAAGAACTCAATACAAATTTCAGAATAAATGAGCACAGCCAGGGCAACAGTTACCCTCTGCTTACCTAGGGCTGCTTCCTGGGCAGCCTCACCAATAGACAAATTGTACTTCTCATAGTAGACGGGAATTCTATTATAGGATGAGACCTGGTCAACTCCAGCTGCTTTCCCTACAGTTCAGTGCCCTTTCCAACCTCCATGCCAATCTAAGAAAGCTGGTCTGTCACACACATATAGATGAGCACACATGCCCTATCTCCTCAGCCCTGTGATGTTTAGGTTTGTCTTTGCATACCCTCCCATGCCCTTTTCCCTTCTGTCTGAACTCAGGTAGACAGACAAGTACCTTCTTCCTGAGTCATTGATAAACACACTCCCTTTATACATATACCCTCTTTGCCTTGGGGCATACACGTACCTGACATAGCTCAGAGAGGGAAGCAATGAATCACTGCATATTACCCTGCTAAGGAACTGTCACACCCTAGCAGTGTGCCTTCATTAGCCACCCCAAGGGTTAGTAGCCACATCCCAAAACCCCAGGAGAGTCTCACGTCATGGCCTGATATATGGATTCAATGCCATAGCGCATAGCAAATTCATCCACAATTTCTTGGGCAGTCTCATCAAAGTACACCTTCCAGGCATCGTCTCCTCGGGCCTCAGGGATCTGGACTCCTCCATTGCCCTGAATGTCTGTGAGGTAATGGAAAAGGTTCTGCAGAAGACAGAGCAAAGGAAGGAGTTAAATATATAGTTAAAAAAATCTGGTGGTAAGGTCCAGGGTTTCTCAGAAATTCTGTCCTTCAAGTCATCGCTCAGCTCTTCCTGTGGCCCTAGTAGGTTGTTAGTGAAAGAGAACTGAGGCTGGGACTGTTCCTTGGGCTGTCTAAGTAGCACAGTAAGCCAAGGATAAAATAAAAAACAGGCTCCAAATCTTCAACCATCTAGCAATCCTATTCATTATCAAAGGCCCCTCCCAGCATTGCTTTCTAGCACCCCATCTACCAAGGGCTGGCTCACCTCATGGAGACACGTGTACTGCACATGATACGGGGCAACCTTCTCCTCACCCTTGATTTCCACATTGATTTGTAGTCGAATAGCCCCTGAGACGGCTGATTTATCTGTCCTCTTCTCTAGGAAGGAAAGAAGATGGAAATTGACACCAATGCAACTACAGACAGCGTGGACAGTTACCACTCTGGCTTAACCCAATGAAAGGGAGGCACTAGCCCCAGGGTTCACCTAACAGGGTGAACTCACTCGAGTGACCATATAGTCCACAAACACCCCAAATATTCCCAATAGGAACCCTCCTATTTCATTAGAAAAATATGGAACTAAAGGCACTGGGATGTGTATGAAAATTAAAGGGATTCTTGAAATCTGGAGAATGTCCAGCCAGAGCGAGTTCAAGCCACACCCACTCCTCTGTCCCCCATCTTTACTCTTGGTCGGTTCTCTACAGGGAAGGCAGGTTCTGCATAGAGGTATGCTTTAGCAATTGAGTGGTAGTTTTGGTAGATAGTACTTTCTCTAAGTTCCTCATTCATTCTCTCCCTTCCCACCAACTTTCTCTGGTGCTGTTTCCTCACCCAGGTTGTACCAGACATCCATCTCGCCACTCAGTGTCCGAACCTCGATGATGGTTTGGCCAAGAAAATCATCAGACTCTCGCTTTAGCCGCTGCTTTACTCTCGACTTGATGTCATCATCCTCATCCCACACACGTACCTTAATCCGGTCAGAAGAGTTGTGGCACTCACTGTGACAGAATTAGGCAGGCTCTGTTAGGGACAGACCCAGCAGCCCCCATTCCAATTCCCTCCCAACGCTCCACCAACTACACTTGAAGCCTACAGAGGCAGAGAAGGAGTTAGAGAACAGTGGTACTAAAGTTCCACAGGAGTCAAGCTATCCTAGCAAATGGCTCTTCATTCCTCAGCCTGGGTGGCTCTATATACCATTATCCAGTCCTTGTTGCCTTGGGATTAAAAAAAAAAAAAAAAAAGAGGGGAAAGAAGAGTAATCAGAAATAATTCTGATTTCCTGTGCAGCTAGCTATATCAACAGCACCCAGAGGAAAACAGCTGGACAGATGCTACAGAGCCCTAGGAAGCAACTGCTAGTTCCTTCTCCAGAGTTAGTAAAGGTGTTAATGTTCATGGCATGTCCACCTTGTCATATCTACTTAACTTTCTACCTAGCTCCTCCATGTGTCTACGTATATGCTTGGTGAACTTCTATCATTCTTTAATACACACTTGAATGATCATTTCCTCTATGGTGTTTGCTCTGGAGAAGGGAATTTGCCCAGGTCCCAGCCCCTTCCACCTCTTTCCCAAACAGTTGCTTTCTGGGTCCTGTTGCCTCACCCAAAAGTTGCACTTGACAGAATTTGCTGCTCCTTTCTCTGTGTTCTCATAATATCTTTGCATGTTCATTAAAATATAATAGTATAACTACTGGTGTATTGATAAAATAATAAACAAATCAACAATGAGCTTCTTTTTTTTTTTTTTTTTTCTTGGTAACCCAATCATTGTTTAATAACATGCTATTTAGCCTCCAAGTGTTTGATTTTTTTTCATTGTAGTTGAGTTCTAACTTTATGCCATTGTGGTCTGAGAAAAAATGCTTGTATATTTCTTTCTTCTCGAATTTGAAGAGACTTTGCCTGTGGCCTAATATGTGGTCTGTTTTTGAAAATGTCCCATGTACACTTGAGAAGAATGTATATTGTGTAGCTTTGGGGTGAAATGTTCTGAAGATGTCACTTAAGTCCATCTGATCTAGTGAGTCATTTAGGATTGCTATTTCTTTGCTGATAACAATGAGCTTCTTGAAGCCAGAGACTGCCTTATTCATTTTTAGATATAAAACATCATGTACAGTGTCTTGTACAGAACAGGGGCTTCATCAGTAGATGAATGGATTAGAAAACTGTGGTACATCCACATGATGGAATACTATGCTGCTCTAAAAAGGAAGGAACTCTTACCATTTGCAACGTCATGGATGGAACTGGAGAGCATTATGCTAAGTGAAATAAGCCAGTCAATGAAGGAAAAATACCACATGATCTCACTCATTCATGGATAATAGAGACCATTATAAACTTTTTTTTTTATATTTTATTGATTTTTCACAGAGAGGAAGGGAGAGAGATAGAGAGTTAGAAACATCGATGAGAGAGAAACATCGATCAGCTGCCTCCTGCACACCTCCTACTGGGGATGTGCCCGCAACCAAGGTACATGCCCTTGACCGGAATCGAACCTGGGACCTTTCAGTCCGCAGGCTGACGCTCTATCCACTGAGCCAAACCGGTTTTGGCATAAACTTTTGAACAATAATAGATACAGAGTCAGAGTTGCCTCAAACAGATTGTCAAACTGCAGTAGGAAGGCCAGGGAGGGTTGGGGGGCAGGAGGTAGGGGGGTAAGAGATCAACTAAAGGACTTGTATGCATGCATATAAGCATAACCAATGGACATAAGACACTGGGGGATAGGGGAGGCTAGGGGACTGTCTAGGGCGGGGGGATAAAATGGACACATATGTAATACCCTTTGTAATACTTTAAGCAATAAATAAAAAATAAAAAATAAAAAAAAGAACAGGGGCTTGATGAGTAGTTTACTAAATGGATAAAAGTGGGAAAATTGACAACAGAGTCAATTCATTTAGAATAAAACATAAGAAGGAGTCAAGCAAGAACCATTCAGATTCTCAAAGAACCAAGTGATCCCCCAGTAACCACTGCCTCTGGATTGGAGAGTGATTTTACTAGGTTCCAATCAATCCCTTTTCACATGAGTTCTCCAAGGAGCCAACAGAAGGTCTCTATATGGCCAGCCTGCTTAGCTCATCCAGCCTTCAAGTCCTGGTCTTGGGCCTTAGGGGTGTGACAAAGCATCTCGATTCTCCAGACATTAGTCCAAATCCCAGACTAGAGCTTTCAACAACCATCTCTTACTATCTTATAAAGTAGTCTAATAAAGTGAGATAATAGGAAAAGAATTGGTGGGGTTGGGAGTTGGGGTGGGAATGGGGGGAGCTGAGGCAGAAAGAAAAGCAGAGCCCTTTTAGGTGAAATGGAAACTCCTCCATACTGCTTATTTCTTCCTTCAAGCCAGAAATACCCAGTTGTAGGACAAGGACATTTCTTCCCCATTTCCCAGAATAGCCTAACCTTTCCCAGGCATGGTGGCAGTGCTGGGAGGTACACAATAGGGTGGTCAGTCCCTGGTCCTGTAACTGAGCAGTAGTAAAATCTTTCTAATGCTAGAAAAAGCAGTATGAAGTGCCCAGGATCCCCGTTAATAACCCTAGTTAAAATAGGATTTGGGGAAAGTAACCCTGATACAACAGTCCATGAGAAGAAAACCAGAAAAAAATGGCATGTGAGAAATGGGTTTTCTCCACTGTCTCTGCCCTATCCCTCTTAGGGGCCAAGCCCAGAATAAGAGGATTTAATGTTGCTCCCAAATACACATAGTACCAGGTAAGACAAAGACCTCTGTGACTTACAAATGGAACTTCTCCTCCCAAACAGGATTCAGATTCCCAAAAATGGTCTTGGTACGCTTCTTGGTTTTACCCACTTGCACAGTCACATAAGGGTCACTGGATCCTGTCTTGTCCTTGGCTTGCAGGCCCTGAGCACACACCACTGCAACCCAAATACATAGAGGAGACTTCAAAGTATGCTCCAGAAGTCAGAAATCCTCCAAAGCATGACTCATACATTCTCCATCTTAGAAAAGCCTCTCTCTGCTTCCTGCACAGGAACTCCTCCAGATCTACCTTTTGTCCCAAGCCACCAGTCTTTCCTTCAAAGCCTAGTTCAAGAATCTCAGCTCCCCATCAAAACCCTAACTGACCACTTACCCCTAAACTGTTCCTTACCGTCTCTGATAGATGCATCCTTCAGCCACATCCACCCAGCTAATATAATTAGTCCCTGGGTAACTATTTCCTGATCTCCTACCAGTCCCTTCTCCTCCACCCCCAGCTCTTGTATTATCAGATTGTCAATCAAGTCCATAATATCAGATTATTACCAAATCCTTCAGTTATCACTCATATTGTTTGCAAGTGCCAGTCTTACCTCTCCTAGCCTCCTAGGAGAGGAGGAGTGATGAATAATGAGGCCCGCTTTCTTTCCCTCAGTTCTGTCTTCTTTCTTCCCAGCCCTTTGGCTCCTTCACACTCAGGTGACTTCTTCCCTAGTCTCCTCTCCATAGCCTAGTGCTTTCTGTCTCCTTATACTTAGGCCTACTCACCAGTGATAGTAATCTTGGCTGACCATTTGGAGGTGCCATCCAGTACACTCTGCTTCACTGTTTTCATCTGTTGCACATGGGCAACTTTGCTCACAGTGAAGACATCCCGGATAACTTCAAAGATCTCAGGCTTATTACGCTCTCGGATCTTCATGCGGTCCTTCATGGCCATGATAATGTTCTGGGTCCGGTCCTCAGCTCCATGTTTACAGCTCTTTTCTGCAGCCCCTGAAGGATGGCCAGAGACAGAAAGTAAGATAACCAGCAGGCCATCTATAAGATTAAGGGTCAGGTTGAGGAATGGAGTCTGGGAGAGGTCACTGAGGAGGGGAAGCAGCTTAGGAAGACTGGGATATCTCTGGGAAAAGCTCATCACTTATGAGGCCTGCTGAAGTTTAAAATGCAATTCAAAGGGTAGCAAAAACTTGAAAAATGTTATGGGGGTTTATTATATTATTCAATTTTGGTATATGTTGAATTTTTCATTTAAAAAAAGAAACAAAAAAGTGTAGCTCAGTCTGCAGTTGGCTTTATCTTTCTTCCACCTAGATGGTGGTTGAGAGAGATACTCTTCAAGTCTAAGGCTCAAATATCACCAATTGATATCACAGTTATCATGGAGGGGTGGTGGGTGGGCATGACAACTCCACCAATCTCATCCAACTTCCAAACCATGATAGACCGTAGACCCCAGAACTGGTCATAGTGCACAGTTAAGTTCTGTCCCATGCTCCAGTGCCTTTAATCAGAAAATAGTGTGGTAGGGTAAGAAAAGTATGGCCAGGCAGAGTTAGGTAACAGAGAGAGTTAGGTTCAAATCCCGATTCCAGAACTCCTAGCTAAGTAAACTGGTTTCTTTTAAGAGAAGAAAACATCACTTTTCTCTCAGGGTGCTATGAAGCATTACATCAACATGTATAAAGCATCTAGCCCAATGGCTTGCATCTAGCAGGTACTCAATAAATGGTCACTGTTATTATTACTATCATCATTATTATCTTGGCAGGATGGCAAGGGCCATCATCACTAGCTGTGACCCCAGCCAACTCATCTCGAAGACTAGTAGACTTCCCCTGCTGCCCTAAGAATTATGAAAGAACACAGACTCCTCCAGTATAGTTCATTAACCAGGCTTCTCAGAAACCATCCTTCAGCTTCATCAGCCCTGCAGACTGATTCTTACCTCTCTCTATTCTCCAAAGGCTTAGGCCTTTACTACAAAACCTAGAGTGGGGGGAGGGGAGGGAAAGGCCAACATCTGCATCCTAACCATGGGAGGATGGCAAGCAGGTTTTCTGTCCAGAGAGGCCCATAAAAAGGCATTTCATTACACTGTGTGCTTCACAGAAACCTTAGGCAGAAGATATTGCTGATAAATGAAAACTGACCTGGGCTGCATCCATTTAGCACATCCTATGCCATGCTACGCCCTTGGATTGGAACTTCTGAAAGGCCCTTGAGAAAAAAAATCGACACTCTTGCTACACAGCAGCATTTCAGAAGGTTTCTGGCAAGCAGCCCACTTGGCTGCTAGCAATTAAAGCGAAGACCTGCTGGCACCTGTGCTTGTCACCCCCTCATGATGGGTTTGGGCAAAGTCATCACTAGCATTCATCTTCAGACCATCTTTTCAGAGCCCCATCTCTTCTGCCGACTTGTTCTACCAGTCTCTTCATGTCTACTGTAGTCATGTCACTGGCACCAATCTAGGGCTCTTCAAAGGAGGACTTCTTTTTTCTTTTTTTGGTATTTTATTTATTTTTACTTTCTATTGAACTTATTAGGGTGACAATAAATTACACAGGTTTTAGGCGCACAATTCCACAACACATCCTCTGTACACTGTATTGTGTGTCCGCTCCAAGACAAGTCTCTTTCTGTCACCATATATCGTCCCTATACCTCCTCCACCTCCTCCTGACCCCACCCCCTGCCCATCCCTGGCAATCCCCACACTGTTGTCCTGTCCATGAGTTTTTTCTCTTTTTCTTTTTCGCTCAACCCCTCCACCAACACCCATCCAGACCCCCAACTCACTCACTCCCCTCAACAGCTAACAGTCAGCTCTCTATCTGAGTCTGTCTCTATTTTGCTTCATTGGATTCTACACATGAGTGAAATCATATGGTACCTATCTTTCTCTGACTGGTCTATTTCACGTAGTATAATGCTCTCTAGGTCCATCCATGCTATAAAAAAAGCTATGATTTCCTTCTTTTTGATAGTCAAGTAGTATTCCTTTGTGTAAATGTACCACAGCTTTTTAATCCACTCATCTACTGATTGGCACTTGGACTGTTTCCATATCTTGGCTACTGTAAATAATGCTGCTATGAACAGAGGGGTGCATATATTCTTTCTGATTGGTGTTTTGGGATTTTTAGTATATAATCCCAGAAGTGGATTGCTGGCTCAAATGGCAGTTCCATTTTTAATTTTTTGAGATAACACCATAGTGCTTTTCACAGTGGCTGCACCAATCTGTATTTCCACCAACAGTGTGCACAAGGGTTCCTTTTCTCCACGTCCTTGCCAACACTTGTTTTTGGTGATTTATTTATGATAGCCATTCTGACAGGTGTGAGGTGATACTTCATTGTGATTTTAATTTGCATTTCTCTGATTAGTGACATTGAGCATCTTTTACATATGTCTATTGGCTATCTGTATGTCCTCTTTGGAGAACTGTCTATTCAGGACCTTTGCCCATTTTTTTAAAAATGATTGTCACCTGCGCTTTATCCTCTTTATTTCAGACATGATATTTGCTATATTGCATAGATGCATTGTTTTGGTAGAAGCATTATTATTATTATTATTATTTGTTATTGTTAATCCTCATCCAAGAATATTTTTTCCATTGATTTTTAGAGAGAGTGGAAGAGAGAGGGAAAGACAGAGAGAAATACTGATGTGTTTCACATCGATTGGTTGCCTCCTGCATGTGCCCAGGGCCCGGGGCAGAGCCTGCAACCACAGTGCGTGCCCTTGACCGGAATCGAACCTGAGACCCTTCAGTCCGTAGGCTGATACTCTATCCACTGAGCAAACCGGCTAGGGCTGCCCATTTTATAATTGGATTGTTTGAGTGGGGTTGTTTTTTTTGTTTTGAGTTTTATAAGCTCTTCATTAATTTTGGATATTAACCCCTTATCAGATATATCATTGGCAAATATGTTCTCCTATTCAGTGAGTTTTCTTTTCATTTTGTTGATGCTTTCTTTTGCTATGCAAAAACTTTTTAGTTTGATAGACTTCCAAGAAATTGTTAATTTTTTCTTTTGTTTCCCTTGCCCGAGGAGTTGTATCAGAAAGAAATATTGCTAAGAGCAAGTCTGAGATTTTACTGTTTATGTCAAGGGTCCTCGAACTTTTTAAACAAGGGGCCAGTTCACTGTCCCTCAGACCATTGGAGGGCCAGACTATAGTTTAAAAAAAAAACTATGAACAAATTCCTATGCACACTGCACATATCTTATTTTGAAGTAAAAAAACAAAACGGGAACAAATACAATATTTGTATTTGCATGTGGCCCGCGGGCCGTAGTTTGAGGACCCCTGGTTTATGTTTTCAGAGGATACTTTAAGTGAACAATTCCTCAAGGCCTGCCTCTTCCTGGGTCCCTTTTATGTCACATATCTTTCCTTGAGATAATGAAAGGCTTGCGAGTCTAAAGGTGACCTTCCTTTTCCTACCATAATCCTTAAAGCTTTTGTTGCTATGGCTTGGTTCTGAATGACATCTGGGAGACATGGAGGGGTGAGAAAATACTTTCCCACTTCCCCACCCCTGGGTCCAGCAGGAGCAGAGCAAAGAGACAAGAACTTGGAGTGCTACCACCTCCAAAACAACAGGACAGAAATTTTGTTTTTCCTGTTCCTCTCCGCCCCTCCTCCACAACCCCCACTCCATGAAGGTAGCAAAAAACACATTTAGTCAGGGCCTTGGGTTTCTGGCACATTCTCCTCTGGGACCTCTGCCTGAGCCATATGAAACTGCTGCCCCTGGCACTGCTGTTTAAAAGCTGCATCCATAAGCATGGAATAAATGCTGCCTTCCCTGGATCCTAGGGAGTTCCTCTCTGAGGCCTAAAACTGAGAGTTCCTCTCACAGAATTCTCTTTCCTCATCAGTTTTGGTCCCCAATTAAACATGCTCTAGTCATTTAGGAACTGTGGCCACTGTGGTGTGTACACTACTCAAGTGCAGCCTCTGGGATCATCTGAATCCTGAGGAGATTCTAGTTCCACCAAAGGGCCTTAGAAAACTCAAAGAATTCTTTCTAAAGGTGCTTAAGGAAGTGCTATAAAACCAGTTATTTGGAAAGGCAATGCACTTGACTCAGGACTCTACATTCTCTGAAAAGGAAAGAGCTTCAGAATGAGGAAGGCTGGAGGAATGACGTCCAGCCATCCTAGCTCTTGTCTGACAGATTACTTGGGAGAGGCCCTGCTGCCCGTGCTCCCCACCCCTCATCCCACAAGAGCACTCACGCTGTAGGCAGTCAGCGTTGAGCAGGTCCTGGCACTTCTCATGGCACTTGACTCCACACTCGCTGCAGCGCATGCCCTGCCGGGCAATGCCCCAGAGCAGGCCTTCGCACTCGTAGCAGTAGGTCGGGGTAGTGGCAGTCCAGACCTCAAAGTTGTGGGGTGTGGTGCACGAGATGGGATAGATTAAGGCCTGCAGGGTTTTCTTATACACATGGGATTTCTGAAAGATACATACCATTATCCACCAGTGACTTTAGGTCTCTGCTGGGAGATACCAGAATGAGACCTTGTAGGGCAATCAAGACCATGGTTTCCCTTTTGGTAGTAGAGAAGATGCTCTAGAATGATGCAGTACATAGTCCAGCCTGGCAGAAAGAAGCCCCCATATGTTGTGTGCTCCAGGTCATGAAAGACAGGTCTGACCTGAATACTGATTCTGAGCCTTGCCCCAGCATTCAAGGTTTCTTGGGAAACACAGGATTCTAGACCCACTATAATACCCCGAGTTCAATGATCCATACTCCCACATGAGACTTGGGCTTACCCCTGGTCTGGTCTCTCGCCTTTCCCAGTGTGGAAGTCTGAGACCCAGTGCTATCTATCTGTTCCATTAACGATGTATGCCCTACACTGTTGAGTTCTCAATCCGTATGGCGACAGAGGTGATCCCCAGTGGATGGCTAGATCGTTAGGCCAGTGGATTCATGAAAGCCCAGGGGTCACTTACCAGCTCTTCATCCTTGAAAGAGGTACGGGTAGCCATTGCAGAAGTAATCCCTGCCTTCCGGGACTGGACCAATGACTGTAAGGGAAGACCTACTGTCAGTCCTGGCTACCACCAAGGACTGGCAAAGTCCTGGGAAGGGAGTTTCAGTGATCAAAGCAAACTGACTATAACTTACTGCCTTCTATTTTTACCCATGGGTAATAGATAACAGCATCCCAGGTTAAGATCCAAACCCCAAGGCCCTCAGAGGACTGTTCTAACAATATTAGAAAAGCACTTCTCTCAGGGTTTCTATCATCCAAAGGTATCTTACCCCTTGTTTATAGAAAGGCAAAGAAAAATGAAAAGTTTAGAATTACAGTAGGAAGTAGGTCATTAAGAATAGAATAAACACACAACTCTGTCAGAGTTACATTCAAGAGCCATCCCTGAGAACGATTCCATGCTATCATCTATCCCCTGGTACCACATCATGCCCACACAACCCCAGGTGGCTTTAGATGTCAGCAGCTCAAATGAGCAGGGAACTACGAAAGTAAATGGGGCAATGTAACCTCAGCCAAATCAAGCAGGGCAAGGGGGTAAGTATGAGAACTAGGGCTGCACCCTGCTAGCCTGTCTCTTGTATAGAGGGGCTTCATGTATGCCAAGCCCAAGCATTAGGGGCAGCCCATGAAGAGACACATGGTTTCCCTAACATAGTGGACACTGGGCAGACAGAATAAAAATATTAGTCTAAGTAGGAAGAACAGTTAGGAGGGGCCGGGTGGTTTGAAATATAGATTCTTAATAGTGCTTAGAAAGGGGCTCTGGAGACACTCACCATTGCCTGTGCAGAGGAAAGCAGAAAAAGGAACAACATGATGTTAAAGCTACCCCAAGGGCATTAAAAAAATAAAAAATAAAAAAATAAAACACCTTCAGAGGCAACTGAGAGGTTCTTCCCTATAGTCCAATGTAGGAAACACATTCCAAAACTCTCTGCCTCTATCCAATGGAATTGTCTTCAATTCAACAGTAGCCTGGGTGTAAGGCCGAGCTTCTATTAGACGAGTTATGCCAGAAAGTGAAATATAGAAAAGGTTAAAAGATGGAGGAGGGAAAATAAGAACTGAATGAGACGCTGCTATCCAAACAGTTAAGCAAAGAGGAGGTGGTGGGCAAGAGGGAGTAGAGAATGAGAAAAAACAGGGAGAAAAGAAAGAAAGAAGAGAAAAAAGGGGAGACAGAAGACAATGAAAGACTGTAATAAAGAAGAGATAGCATCAGAACGTATCTTCATCCAACCAGCTTGATGAAGAGTTGGTGGGAGAAGAGGTGCATTTGAAAGGAAGAAAAAAAGAAACAAGAAGATACGCAATAGTAGGAAAGAAAAAATGATTAAGAGAAAATGGCAGAGGATAGCTCCATTCAGCCAACTAAAGAGAAAGAAACTCGTGGGTGGAAAAACAGCAGAGAATGGAGGAGAAACGAGAAAAGAGGTGGACAGAAAAACAGACTGAACAGGGAAAGGAAAAGAGGAGCAGAAATGGTAACAAGAAAAAGGGTAAAAGTCTTACTGAACATCTCGTTTCAGAGCTCTGGGAGAGCCTGTACTCCACTCTATCCCCACTATCCACTCCGTTATGGAAAATTCCTTGAGCTAATCCTGCCTCAGGACGTACAACCCAAAATGAGAATTTCTGATCATCCTGGAGGTCCTGAGATCAGCTTTAACTCCTAAGCCCATTTCAATTCGATTCTACAAATTGTTATCATTACCTCTCAGTGACAGACACTAAGAAGAACTAGGGGCACAGAGATAGTCTAGAAAGCCTATGTCTTGGGAGGAGACTGCCACTTGACCTCCAAGAAGTTGTACCAGCCATGCTCATCACAGGCCAAGCTCAATGATCTAGGTCGGAGCTAGAGGCAGTTTCCATTCTAAGTCATCAAAAAAGGCTATAGAGATACCTAGAAGAACTAGATACCTAGAATATAACCACAGAGCCCAGCTTTGAGGGCCTAAGCCTTAAATGTTCCAGGTGGGAGCTTGAGCTCATGAAGAAACTCGGGTTCTATAGGGAGTGAGGTAAAACAAAGTCTCACTGAAGCCATCTCTAAGTCTCAGTAAGTCTTTAAATGATTGGTCTTCTGCCAGGCTGGTGTGGCTCAGTGGATGTGTTGACCCATGAACCAGGAGATCATGGTTCAATTCCTGGTCAGGGCACCTGCCCAGGTTATGGGCTCGATCCCCAGTAGGGGACATGCAGGAGATAACCAATAGATGATTTTCTCTTATCATTGATTTTTCTATCTCTCTCTCCCTCTCCCTTCCTCTCTCTAAAATCAATAAAAATAAAAATAAAAAATGACTGCTCTTCAGACCAATACTTGTCACTAAATGGACCACTACCAGTTTTGATAGCTTGCCAAGGTCCAATGGGGGCTACCCCGAGGATACAGCCTAAGCCTGCACAAGAGTTTCACTCACCAGATCGCTGACAAGTGGCAGTGGCTTTTTTCTGCGTAGATCTGGCATGCTGTCAATGCCATAGAGCCCTCCTGCTGGCCTGAGGAAGGAAGAAAATATGTCAGAACCTTTAGTCCTGTCCATTTTCCTTGCTCACCTTTTCCCCGGAGGAAGATGTGCTTTCAAAGGGGGTAAGGAAGACAGGAAGTGAGGGAAATAAAGCCATGGGATGATGAGCAATGGAATCTGCTCTCAGAGTGCACCTACCTGTCTCCTTCTATGGTTTTAGCCAAGGACCTAGAGATCTTTTATCCTATAGTGACAGGCAACTCTGTTTATCTGAAGGACCTTATGCTCCATAAGGCAAGGTGGGAATTGATGGTTAAGAGGGCTCTTCTCTACACTCAGGCCAGAGACACTGCTCCCCCCAAATAAGCCTTTCTTGGCCTGTGCTAGAACAGAGCCCATAGGAATAGCTCTACAGAAGAGATGCTGCCTAGGTGAGCAAGACTACCAAATAATGACATGTACAAGGAGATTGTCTCCATCCTGAGGAAAAAGGGTCTCCATGGAAAAAGGAGCCCACGTCATAAAGTGGAGGCAGGGGACGTGGGATGGAGACTTCTAAAAGACCATTTAGGAAGGAAACAGGAAAAGAACTCAGAGTGTCCAGTCTATCCCTATGGACACATCAACAGGGACCAAGAAAAAATTATAGCGGGAGATTTCTAAAATTTTTATATTTTTTCTATGTTTACTAACTTTATTGTTCTTTGTCTGTTCTTCCATAACAATAGCCAACAAAAATACAAAGAATGTCCCCCAAAGAACACCATTTTCACATTAAGATAAGCCAGATTTTATCCCAAGCTCTTCTACTAACTCTCTCCACGTCCTCTGCCAAAATTCCTTCCTCTTTTGGGGTCTTGGTGTCACTTCTATAACATGAGGGGGATGAACTACAGTATTTGGACCTTTTGGAAGCTGCCATTCTTAGTCTCAATGAAAAGGACTCATGCACTTGGTTTTAATGAGAGCAATGAGGTGGGAAATGTGGGGTGGCTGGGTTGTACACCACAGCTAGTCTGAAAAGAGGTATATCTCAGAAGAATAAGAAGGTACCGCCAGCAATATAGGCCAAAAAAATTTTTTTTAAAAATGGAGCCACAATTTGGGTCAAAGCCAAGAGTTGGAACAGGCAACCTGATATGTTGATTTCTAATAAAGTCGCTTCTTGAGTACAGGCAGTGAACTTTGTTTTCAATGAGACTACCAGACCCAGGGAAGTTCTAAACTTGTGGCAGCTTCCAAGGACTGAGCTGAAGGAAGGAAAGACAACAATAGGGAGGCATTTAGAAAATCATTGCATGGCTCCCTTTAAAAATAGCTGGGATATGTTCCATTGGCATGCATGTATTTTACAATTATTAGAGGGAAAAGCTAAAGCCCTGAAGAAGGGCTGTTGAAGAAACAACTAGTGCCATGAGTTCGTGGCTAATTCTAAAAACTATAATATATACCATTTAAGACATGAAGCTTTTTGCAACAAAGATGAGCTTTTGACAAAGAAGGGTGGTTCATTCACATGATTAACTCTTGATTTAAAAGACAAATCACAAGGAAAAGGAGCACATAAAAATGTAATAGATAAAATTATGATCTGATCTTTTTTCTCCTCTGGTCAAGAGGGAGAGGAGGCAGCCACTGAGAATTCTAATGTCAGAAGGTCTTTGTGGGAGAGAAGAAAGATCCTGACAAATAATTAATTGGCAGTGCATGTGGGGGAAGTGGAGGTAGAGAAGCACTTAAATTATTTTCTCTCTTAAGAACAAGCAGCAGTTGAGCAGTTTAAAATGACTCTCTGCTGCAATCACATGGGTCTGAAACTCCCAGATAAGAAGCACAGACGAACACACAGAGCTCATAAGGGATGCTACTTATGTCTTTACTAGAGTGAAATGGAACAAGTAGGTGACTCACAACAGCTAAAGCAGGACAGAGCCCAGGGAGAAATCTAATCAGCTACTGCTATCGCAGGGGTGGGCAAACTTTTTGACTCGAGGGCCACAATGGGTTCTTAAACTGGACCGGAGGGCCGGAACAAAAGCATGGATGGAGTGTTTGTGTGAACTAATATAAATTCAAAGTAAACATCATTACATAAAAGCGTACGGTCTTTTTTTTTTTTTTTAGTTTTATTCATTTCAAACGGGCCGGATCCGGCCCGCGGGCCGTAGTTTGCCCACAGCTGACCTAGAGTAATCACCCCTATGCAATGGATCAGAAATTCCACAGGCAAGAATGGGGGAGCCCTCAAGCCCCCTCCCCTGCTCCAGGGAACCACTTGGCAAAGCTCTCTCTTCTTCTGCCTCTAAGTAATCAGTTTGCAGAGTTCTCTCCTCTGACCCAGAGAACCAATCAATCCCTACAGTGGAACATCTTCCTTCCCCAGGATCAAGCGTATGAAGTTGTTTCTCCTACTTCCCAGGGGAAAAGCGAAAAGCAGCATTAGGGTCTACACAAGATCCACAGAAACCTTGCAAGAATCACTTACCCTTCTGGGAGCCACTGGGGCAAAGAGGAGTCGCCATCATCTGGAATCTTTAAAAACAAATAGAAAAAAGTTAGACCCTAGGAAAGAAAGGAGACTGCCATCTTTCTTTGGTAAGGCAGTGAGCGGTAAAGTAGGAAGCTCAGAGGAGTGTAGGTCACATACACCATGTGGTGACATAGCTAGCCTGATGTCTAGGCCAACGCCCTGATGAGCCAAAGGCAACAAGCAGGCTGCTGAAATGAGCAGTACTTCATCTCCCCTCTCCCGAATGAACAGGAAGGATACAAGGCCAAGCTCACTGAAATCTTTGGGCTAAAGTCTACTGGGACTGTGAGAGCTGCCAGAATTTATATCCCCCCCCACACACAACCCATTAGTATACGTAACAGTAACCAAAGCTGGGAAAAGGATCCATTTAGGCTTCCAGGCCTCACTGAGGCAAAAAGACAACTTCATATAGAATCTGGTCTTCTTCCACTATATTCCTAAATTCCTTTGGCTGCCAAAGTCAACCTGGTCTTTCTAAATTCCTCTCATCTTGTGACAAAGCCCGAACTCATTGACACTGAGTTCACTCAACATTTGATAAGTTCTATATTATCAGAGTGTCCAAGACAGGTTAGACACTTGGGTTATCACTCTGGTAAATTTTATGAGTTCTCTAATGAGAAGTTGAACATTGAGGTACCAAATAATTCAAGGAAGAAACAGGTTGAAAACAATTTTTAAAGGTTTCTGCACCAAAATACCCAAAGCAAATCCTTCAGGCAGTGTACAGAGTTCCAAAGCTGTCAGGGCTCTCCTGAGAACCAATGGCAAATACTGTTTAGGCTCAAAGGACCCAGTGCGAGTAGGTCCGGGGCTTCCTGCCCTACCTTGTTCCCCTCCACCACCACCAACTTCCCTGCCACCTGAGACCTGGGCTCTCACTAACTATCCCAGAGCACATGAGCTCCAGTACAAGGGAGGCAGAAGTTAAGTTGCTCTGGACAGGGGGTGAAGTTTTGGGAGTGCTAAAGATGGGAGAAGTTATAGATTGAATGAGGCAAGACAGAGTAGAAAAGGGAGAGGTATAACAGGTTTATGGATGATATAAAACCTGGCAAGAACTACCTTAGGTCAGCTCAAAATGAACTCTGGATTTAGGACTCTTCTCAGGTTGTCTGTGCCCTAATCAAGCCTATCTGCCTCCTGCCCTGGCCTGTGGATAGGATACTGGTAAAGAAAGGGCCAAACCCAAAAGGCAGCCAGAAGTGGCTGAAGCAAGTCTCCTAAGGTTGTTTTGTGAGTGATGGCCATTCCTAAGTCCCCAGGTCCTACCAACCAGAACTTCTATTCCCTTTGAAAAACAATTGCTGTACTGAGCAGATTTTTATGTCCTACCTAGAATTAAATGCTTGCCAGAAAGCACTGGGCTTAAGGAAACAAAGTCACAAAGAGTCTTTGGGAGCCAGGGTTCACTGGCTCAGATCATACACATTTCCTGTGCTTAGGGATACAATGGGTCTGCAGAAGCCTGCAGACACAGCAAACAGCATGCACACACAGGGCACTGAAGGAGGGCCAGGGGAGTGAAAGGAGATCTAGACAAAGGACCTACAGGAGGTACATTCGTAGATATAGCTTGTGCCAGAGGGAAACAAGGTGAGCGTGGATCCTGCTCTGTAGAGGGCTATAGCACCTGTGCACACACCCTTTTGGGGAGGATTCAGTGTTCACTAGGGCCCAAATCATAGACAAAGCAAAACCTCTCAGTCTTCAAGAACCAGTGCTTGCAGGCACAGAGCATTAGTATAGTATGCATTCACATGGCATAGGGGAGCCACATCACAGGTCTATGGAAGCTTGTGCTCACAAGAGGCCAGGAAATCTGCTCAGAAGCACATTCACACTTAGGGCCACAGGCAAGAGGAGCAAAATGCCTGCAGCAACACCTGTTCGCAATACATAGAGTGTATGCATGCTGGGCTCAGAGAGGGTTCACAGCATATGCCAGGCACAGCAACAAGTAGAAAATGGACACACAAAGTAGGAGAGGAGGAGGGCAATCAGTGTCTGGGGGAGTCAGACTGAGTACAAATATAAGCACACACATGCCACACTGAATGTGCACCATGCTGGCACACAGATTCTCTCACCGTGCTCCAGGGATGTCTGCAGGAGCACACACAAGCACGGAGCATGCACACACACTGCTTTTAGGAAAAACACACGCACTGCTTTTAGGGAAAACAGACTATCTGCCCAGCCAAAGCTCAGAGGCACAGATCATGTGCACTCGGCACACACACACAAACACCCCGTGCCAGGAGAGAGGGGTAGAGAATAGACAACAAAAAGGCCCCAAAAGGCCAGACACACAACCTGAAGGGCTCCTCGCTTTCCTTCTGCAAGGAGAGAAAGAGCAGAAAAAAAGGGCAGAGCGGTTAGTAGGTTCAGTCCTATAGCAGGGAACCCAAAGAAAATGCCAGCAAACCTCAAGGGACATGGAGGAGAGGGAGAGGTGTTCTGAACTGGGCAGTTCACAAAGCCCAGCTCCCAGAATCTTATATTGCTGGCCCCTGCTTTTATAATGTAGGACATACCAGGTTTGGCTACTTAAACCAAAGGACAAAGTCTGCCTGGGGATTCTAGTCACCTTTTGCCCTTTCCACAGTAGCCTACATGCAGGATGAGGGCCACCAGGGCCACCAGACCAGCTCTGTTACCAAGGGCCACTCCAACAGGCCATCTGAGCTCCCTGAGCACAGACTGAGTTTGTTCCTTCCTCAGAAGGTATATGAGCTCACTCTGGATCTGGGTAAGTCCTCAAACCCCAAAGGCCTGGTGGCTGAGCCCATTCCATTTTAAAGCAGAGCTCGCCAAGCATTTGCCCAGCAAGCCCTAGCCTATTTTCTCAGAATCTAAGGTAAGCTAGGCCATGTTAGGGCCTGGAGTTAAGGCCAGAACCAGGATACTCAACGGCTATAGACTGGGGTTATCTACTGACCACTGCCCTAACCAAAGTCACCATGATCTGAATGATAAAACTATGACTTCAATCTCAGGTCTGATTATTTATCAAATATAGAACAATATTCCAAAGGGAATGAATGCTTCCAGAAGGATCCAAGTAAGCCACAATAGAGGAAGTATAAAGTTCAGAGGTAATTCTTCAGAGACTACATTGACTTCTAGGCCACACATAGACTTTCTTCTCTACAGAAAGTCCAACCACCTGGGCCCATTAGCTCCCCTCTACTTTCTTTTCCCTTTAAAGACTCACTGGTGTTACATAACAAGTAGAAGGGAGAATCATAGAAACTAATTCAGACGTTCCCAATTTTTCAAGCCATTCTGATGACCAAATGGGTCATGTCACCTGACAGAAGAATCAACTCAGGAACTGGAATCCTCCAAAACAGTGCAGCTACAGGAAAGTGGGTGAGATGAAAAAGACACTTCCTGGATTTGGGGCGGGGGAACACGTCTTCTCTATATCTATTCCCCACCTCCAGGAAAGCACTCCATTGCTGTTTCCTGTGTGTGTGTGTGTGTGTGTGTGTGTGTGTGTGTGTGTGTGTGTGGTGGGGTTTTTTTAGCACTCTGTTGTTCCCTTTGAAAAGACAATTAGTCAAGGAACACTTTAATTGACCATGTGACTCAAATTGGAAAGGTTTCTGTCCTCCTCCACTACCTTAAATACATTTTACCATGTCAGAGTTACTTTGTGTCCTCTGGTCCTTCCCGGAGTTTCCCAGTATGCCCAAATAATAAAATCCAATCTGCTGACAAGGCCATCAAGGCTCCCCCTGATCTGTCCTCTCACATCTACTGGGTAGACCCAGACTTAATCCTTAAGACTTAGCTCACATGTTAAATGCCTCTATAAGTTTCTTTATCTGCCTTTCCATCACGTGCCCTTGGTACCCACACTTTTAAATGCACACTTCTATAACAGTATGTTGCTTGTACTTGGGAGTCAAAAGACTTGAGGCACTGATTTATTTAAGCCTGTATTTCCTAATCTGTAAAACGTAGATAAGAACAGCTACTTCTAGGGTTATTGCAGGGATTCCTTTCTTCAATAAATACTTACTGAGAACATACTGCACGTTAGGCACCAGCAATGCCGCAGTGAATGAAACAAACTCCCTGATCTTGAGAAGTTCTACTCTAATAGGAGGAGCAGACAATTAATAATGGTGGTGAAGATGACGATAATAGCTAACACTATGTGAACATATTATGTAACTGGCATTTTATTTCAATAAGTTCATTTATTTCTCATAACAACTCTCCTGGGTAAATACTATTAGTATCTCAACATTTTTGTTAAACTGAAGATCCGAGAGGTTAAAAAACTTGCTTAAAGTCACAGCGTGGCAAAGCCAAATTCAAACCAGACATTCTGGTTCCATATCATGTGTGATAGGGGCTCTGCTAAAAACTGCAGGTTAGAGGCAAAGATAATGTCCCCTGTGATCATGTTACAGTTGCTATTAAAATTTCATAAAAGGTTATAGGAAGGCCTCATTGATAAAATGACATCTAAGCAGAGACCTGAAAGAAATGAGTACAAAAGCTATTAAGAATTCTAGGAGGAAATTATTCCAGTCAGAGAACATGCAGTAAATGCAAAGCCTGAGGTTCAAGCATAATTGGTGCGAAGCAAGTGTGCGAGAGTGCCGGTTCCAATAGGGCTCTATAGGCCCTTATAAACACTGTGGCTTTCATTCTGAGTGAGACAGAAAAATCATTGGAAGGCTGTGCGCAGAGAAGTGATATGATCTGACTCATTACTCTGCTGTGGGGAGAACAGACTGTAGAAGAATAAGGGTAGGAGTAGGGAGACCAGTTAGACTACTGCAATCATCTATTCTAGATGAAAGAAAATGGTGGCTTAGACAAGGATGACAGTGGTAAAGACAGAAACGTGGTAAAATTCAGGATTTTTTTTAAAAAGATAAAGCAGGCAGAATTTATTAATTGATTGTATGTCAGTTGTGAGAGAAAAGAAGTCATGAATGACTCTGGATTTGGGTACAAGCAGCTGCAGAGATGGAGC